TTTCCAAAAGACAAACATCTCCTGACAGATTCGGATCTCAAAAGACAAGATGAATTTTGCATCCGCAGAAAAAATGTGCAGTTTGATAGTAATTTAACGACTAAATAAGGAAATTCTACAAATTAAATAGAGCGTGGCGAATCTCAAGCTAATGTACTACATCGAATCGTCGTTCTTAAATTCCAGCACTGTGTTGCATACTAGATTATATCGCATCTGGTATGTTGTATTTTTTACTAGAATCTGGAAAGCCTGGATCAAAGAACAAAAAGAATATAAAATAACAGACAACTTTTTGACCAGTAATTGTAACCTTTGCATCGAAACGCCCATGCTTTGATTAAACTAATACTGAAGCTTAACATCGGTGAGTTAAAACCAGATATGTTCATCACCGGCATTTTTGGTAGCCAAGCATGTGAATCCTTATTTCGGGCTGCCAGATCCATGACTTTTACGTATTCAACAATAATACATTTTAGTATAGGATATGCTGAACCGAATTAAGAGAGTTAAGACAACTGATACCATAAACAATCTGAGGGGGACTTTTACATTTCCAAGGGAAGACAAAAGATTAAAAACCAGACTAATAAAAGAAAATTTACCACGTGAAGAAGAAATTTTAAATTTGGATATCAAATCTACAGTTAAAAAAGCTCTACAAAATGTCATAGAGGACATGAAACATCTTGGAATTAATGAAAAAGAAAACGATTGGAAATATATGCAGGTAGGTACCGATAACCGTTAATAAGACGGAAACAAAATATTGCAATTACACAGGATAATGAAGACGCCGACGAAGACGCTAAAATTGTCGAAAACCCCGAAGAAAATTGGCAAAAACAAATATTAGTAATGAGGACGATAAAGTTATGGATGAAGTTATGGACTTAATTTCGAACGAGATTTCTAATGAAGATAGCGAATGTGATACTTTGGAAACGAGTTTTTTTAAGTTTAAAAGAAGTGCACAGTGAATCGGAAAAATCACCGTACCTATATAATATTATATATTCAATTATTAAAAAATCATCAATGGCTTTTAGATCAGTCCGACGGTAGAGTAAGTACTGGCCGATTTAAAAGATTTATAGGCAGTACAAGGAAAACACCGAAGAAAACACCTTGCAAAAATTCCAAGTCGACCTTGACTATAAACAGAAGCTATGCATGGATCAAGCTAGTAGCTAGTAGCACAAGCACTGTATCCTCCTCCGACTCTATCGTGATGGAACTCGACGACTCCGATGATTTGGAGGAGTTTTCAGATGAGATCTTGTCGTATAAATCAGAAAATGTATCGAAATTTGCCGGACTCGAGTTACACTTAGAAAACTATTATGCGGTTTTCTATGACCAATCGTGAGCTTTGCTGCACGAGCGAGGCGAATGTAGAATACACTAATGGTAATAATGGTAATTATTTATGTTAAAATGTATAGCAAGAAAAAAATAGAAACTAAAACCTTGAAGGTTTAAGAAAAATAGGGATATTTAAAATTTAATATAAAATTAATTAAAACTTGTTAAACCTCACATTTCTAATACAAACATTATTTTATAAACATGCAAAATATCAATATTAAAAATTACATAGAAGAAAAATCACATGTTAAAAATTCATTTATATCTTATTAAAGTTGACTCGCTAAATACCGTATTTCTAGGAGACGCAATAAGGTCGCGAAATGTAATGACGCAATATTGTATTACGGATATATATATATATATATATATATATACATACATACATCCTTAGTACAATATTGCGTCATTATAATTTGGCAACACTGTAGGACGCAATAAAGTCTGTACAAGCCATATAAAATTTAAAATGAAATATACACGTGACGCAATATTATATCAAGATTAAAATGAGTTGATAATGTAGTGACTTTTGAAAAAAAAGTGTATATCTTATTTTTTAAGATAAAAAAAATCTGACCAGATTTTTGGAATCAGCAAAAAAAAGTACGCCAATATACTCTTCTATATTTTCGCTAAATACCGTATTTCTAGTAGACGCAATAAGGTCGCGAATTGTAATGACGCAATATTGTATTAGGGATGTATATATATATATATATATATATATATATATATATATATATATATATATATATATATATATATATATATTATATATTGTAATGTACACTATGTATTTTCGTAACCCGATTCTTTAAGTATACTGAAATACTTGTTTTGGCATATTCGTGATCGTCTAGATAATTAACTTACTTTATAAAATTTAGGACTCTACGTTGTGTATTTAAGTACATTGATAATAACGTTATTTTGAAATTGTCAGGTTTAATGAAACACAAGTATTTTAATTTGAAACCCCTGATTTAATTTAAGCAAAGACAAAGGGGTGGCCCGTTGAGTCAAAGCACAGGGAAAAGGGACCATAAAAACCCTGGCGACTTACACAGTTCAAATAAAAATAAAATACAAAACAAAACATAGTCATATGGGTCACAATCACAAGAATACAGTATAAATAATAAGTGAATAAAATAACATGAAAAGCAGATATTTCATATAATGTGGGTGTTTATATCAATATTCAAAACATTTGGTACTCAGGTAAAATATTTATAATAGAGATCGTCATTTTATGACGGAGTGTTGAACAATTTGTTTACCTTACCACGCATCTTCGAACTATTGAACGAGGATACGATTTTATATAAATAAACTACAGCAACGACATATTTCTGATAAAGAGAATTCAAATGCCTTTAAAGAGGAGGGGAAACATGGAAAAATATAATCTAATGCAGATACTTAACCGTAGCCAATAACCACACTATGAAACAATAGCATCTCACTATAGTATCCCTATATCACAATATGTTCAAATATTCTCACAAAATCAATGTCCAGCACAAGACAACAGTATTGTGAAAATATACAAACAATTCTGCACCCAGAGTATATGTAGGTAATAACATAAAAACACTATTTTTCTTCTAAGGATAAATAATTTTGAAATAATGCTAATATATTACCAATGTTCAAATATTCATGCATGAGCACTCTCCAAACGAAAACACAAATACAAATATAGACACAAATAAAATAAACGATATGCAATAAAATAAAATGGTATGAAAGAAAGAAAGTGTCGCGCTGGATAATAATATAAAGAGATTTTTATCATATATAGTAACGTTAAAGTCATTATCAAATATTCCAAATAATGCGCTAAGATAAGCAGTTTAAATCAAAGTCTCTATCCAGAATCTATCAAAAGGCTAAACGATACTATTACCTTACCATGATATGACTTAATGGTACTATCAAATTTAATAATAATAATAATAATGGCAATAATAATAATAATACCAATATTATAATAGTAATATAATGGTTAAAAGCTTTAGCCTGAGTACAAATGCAAAGAGTTAAAATAAATAAATACCTTAATAGCGAGATGATACACTGAGTTTCATAAACAATAAAATACATTTCAGTTAAATAAAAGTTATACAAAATTATATAAAGGGAACAACAAAATCAAGGCCAGTGTAACTCAAAATAAAGAAAATACAAAATATTAAAATTTAAGTTAAATGTGTGAATGCGACAACATAAAGATTGGAACTCAGTGTATGCGCGATCCCAAGATATTAAACCAAAACAATGAAATAGTGATACAATAAAAATTATTACCAAAAATCACTCGCTATTAACACATATTAAAATGATTAGGACCCAATAAACTACCAATGATAAACGTCATAGACCAAAATGCGAATTAAATAATATTGTTCAAAATTATAAGCAAAAATGTATTAAGAAAACCCAAAACGAAGGGTTGTTTATCATTACTAGCAAATATTACAATTTATAAAAGTGTACATACCTAATTATAGCAGATTGGTTACAATCACAAAAAACTATAGCTATATTATAATATATATCTCACAAACTTTTTGGGATGCGTATCGAATGAAAGTCTACACTCTTCTCCCTCTTCCTTCCCTAAGTCGATTATTTAAATTTTCCTTGATTAAAATAGCGCTAAATTTGAATTTAAAAGTTTATGTACCACGGGACCCTTACATATATATATATATATATTAAGATACGTTAATATACAAAAATAGTATAAAAAATAAGATATTTAACTCAAAGAAAATGTCAATCAAAACTTTAATAGAAAACCTTTTATAACGTCATGAATCGCGTAACAAGCGCGACCTTAAAAAATCATGTAAAATTTCGGATGAAAGCATATAGTAATAATTTTTTGTGTAAAAATTAAATAGTAACCTCAAATAAGCACGTATTTTAAATGCACAAATATTGTATACTTTATTTTCTCAAAATGTAACGCGTACGACATTTAAACTTTTTATGGAGTATTGAAACTCTTCCATGTTTATTCTTAATGCTAGCTTCTTAGCATTACAATGTACGAATATTTTAAGGGTATAAATTACGTCGCAATTAAACTATTTGACTTCAGATATAGTTTTTATTTTGTTAAATAACACATTTGGTTTTTTGTCAAGGAGGGGTAATGTTTCGCTAAACTAAAAATGCTGATATTACTGGTAATTATTTTTTTTCGTTCATTTTATTTAACTTAAACCTTTTAAATTCTTTTTTCTCAAAATTTAAAAAAATATTCGTTTCTCCCATGAAGGCTTTAGGACTCAATTTTTTAATGTAATTAATAAAGTAAAAGAAACGTATACGCATTTTGTAATGTATGTAATTTGTTAAATATTATATCATGCATTTACAAGTACCTATTATCTAACTAAGGGGATGAGACACTGCAGTCAGGGGCATAATAGGGATATGTATTAACCCATTAGTGCATAATGTTCGTTATATCAAACGCGGTTATTTCAGTCGGTAAAAGAGGCATCTGCCCAGCTTTAAATTTTTAATGGCATACACGTGTTTTGTAAAGATAAACAAAGGGAATTAACACTGTAAATTCGTTATAACTTAAGAATTTTAGTGAATAAAATGTGATGGACCCGAATCTGTACAGTCATCGGCACGGAGGGTAAGTATTTGCATATTTTTGGGTACAATTTAGTAAAAAACTTTCATTGTTTTTGGTGTATGTTATACCTTTATCAGTACAAAACAGATTTGTAAAACAAAATAAATAATTTTTGTATTCACAAGGCACCTAAAGTATGTTTAAATTTGGTGTTCGTTTTATCGAACGTTATGCTTCCTGTACCAAAATTTTATAAAAACGTTATGTAAAATTTCAAAAAAACATTTTTGCTTTTCTTGTAATTTTTTAAGGATTTTACCATTCTTGTTTTGTTTTTTCAGCCTGACCCTCTTAGAATTAATTGATTGCCTAGAAGAAAGGGATGTCACAGGGGATAATATATATGTTACTCCCCCTCAAGATGGCGAAGATACTGATGTTGACAGTGATTTATCCGATGACAAACACTTCGGAAATATTTCCCATTTGGGTCCTGCAATGTTAAGAGTGGAGAGTGAGTTTGTTCCCGAAATTCCTAACGAAGAAGCTGACGAATATGAGTCGGATGATATTCCGCTGGCTACTTTAGTTCCCAATGCAACTGCAAACTTGTTAAAAAATAGTAGACCCTCAACATCAAAAAAAAGAAAAATGGATATTTGGACCCAACAAGAACCCGATTTTCAAATAAATCAAGTGTGCACTGGAAAAAATCCACCCAACGCAGTTTATGAAAAAACTACTCCATTAGAGTTTTTCTACTTGTTTTTTTTCTGAGGAGGTACTTACCAACTTAGAAGAACAAACTAATTTATACGCACAACAAAAAAAATTGTAATTTGAATATGACCAAAAGTGAACTACTTGTAGTGTTAGGTTTATTACTTTCTGGGTACGGTAAGTACCCCAATAAACGTATGTACGGGTCAAACGACAATGACGTGCCAAAAATACTATCAGAAAGTATGCGTCTAAATAGGTTTGAGATGATTCTTCGGCACATACATTTGAATGATAATAATAAAATCGACAAAGAAAATAAATTATAAAAACTGCAGCCGCTCATCGATAAACTAAATGAAAATTTTAAAAAATATGGTGGTCTAGATGAAAATCTGAGTATCGACGAGAGCATAATCCCTTATTACGGCAAACACTTCGCAAAGCAGTACATAAAAGGTAAACCGATTCGATTTGGTTTTAAAAACTGGGCATTGTGCACAAGCAATGGATATTTAGTAAGTTTTGAAATATATACCGGTAAGAATAAGACGCCCCAAAAAATACCAGAGGAGTTTGGCTTGGGAGGCAGCGTAGTTTTGAAACTTACAATGTTAGCCGAAATCCCGCCTAATAGTGGTTACAAATTATTTATGGATAACTACTTCACTTCTCTAAAGCTTCTAAACCACTTATCTACATTAGGATATTGTGCGACTGGAACTGTAAGGGATAATAGATTAGAAGATTGTCCCCTAATAAAACAACAAAAAAATATGGCAAAACAAAAGCGTGGTGCACATAAATTTTCAAGTCGTAAGAAAGTTATAGTGTTTCAATGGAAGGACAATAAAGTTGTCACTGCAGCATCAAATTTTGAATCCAGTGAAATAGGAACAACTAAACGTTATTGCAGAGAAACAAAATCTAAAATTGCAATACCTCAACCAAAAATGTTTGACAAGTACAACAAAGGAATGGATGGCGTCGACAAATTGGATGGCTTGGTTGCTGTATATAGGACCAGAATGAGGCAAAGGAAATGGTGGTGGCCTATATTTTCGTATCTTTTCGACGTATTTGTTGTTAACGCTTGGCTGCTTTTTCGAAAGATCCATCCATCTCACGAAGCGTCTGGTGCTTTACTAAAGTTTAGAAGATACTTGGCATTAACACTTTTAAAAAGTTATGGACGAAAATCAAATAAAGGGAAAGTAACACCAGCACCGACCTATGATGTAAGATATGACAAAACAAATCATTTGCCAGAATACTGAAGATGTGCCCATTGTGGAAAAAATGCTGAATTTATATGCATTTAAATGTAAAAAACTTTGTTTTTTGCAATATCATACCCCATAATTTTTAGTTTGTCAGATTTTGCATTGCTGTTGTTCCTCCATGTATGACGTTCGTTAAAACGAACACTCTATATCTTTTTGTTAATAAAAAAATAAACAAAATTTTAAACAAAATGTGTTTAAATATATATAAATAGACCAATTTTTCAAAAAAAAATACTTTTCCAACTTTTAGAACCTTATGCACTAATATTAAAGTGTTTTATTTCAAATCCAAATACAGACAAATTGGCAACAAGGACAAAACAATACTTTTTAAAAGTTTATAAAAATAACATAAACGGTCTATGACTTTCATGTATGTTGCTGATATTGTCGATAACAGTAAGTACCTACAATAAATAATACTTATGTATAACTTTATAAAAAACAGTGGTTTTTGAGTTTCACTAATTTATTTTAATTTAATTTGACATTTGTTTCGCTAACGCAGTAGCTTCTTCAGAAATGATTTCAAACTTTATCTAATAACAAACCTATATAAACAATTATTGCAGGTAATGGCTTTTAAAAACAGTTGTAATGAAATAATTTTGGGGGATTTTCTATTTTCTATAATATTAAAATACTGCAGCTAAGTTTTCTGGGATTAATAAATTACGTTGGTAAATGGATACCAAATTTAGCAACATTGACGGAGCCTTTTCGGATGCTGCTACCCCTGGCGAAAATAAAGCGCGCATGAAAAGTGTGCAATAAGTGTGTATTTCGAGCTACTTTGTGGTAATTTGACACTTTTTGAAATAATTAAGTTTTTTCACTCTTTATGTACAATTGGCGTCTCCGAAATGTGAACCATTTTTTGTTGTCATGGATTTTTTTCATAAAATTTATTCGTTCATTCCTGGCTTCGGCCAGTGGTGTTACATATAGAAGGGAGAATACTAAGAATAAGAACAATATCCTAAATCGATCTATTTTTTTAATAATATTTTAACAAACAATAATATAAACAATATAACAAATAAATTAACTTTAATTTGGTTTTATACAACAATATAAATTAACAAGTAGGTAAATAAATAATAAAAATAACATAACTAAACTAAACATATTGCTCAAGAAAATTGGTTTTTAAGTGAAATAGCTGCAGATTTAAATGTCAGTAAAAGCTGCATATTTTATATCAAAAAACGTTGGCAAGAACAACAAAGATTGAGAAGACCTATCAGGCAAGGTGTAGGTAAAATCTCCAACGAAAATGAAGAAAATGCTCTTGTCGCACTTATTAGGCAAAATCCTTTCAATAGCGCATTTAAGGCCCGAGAAGATACTCAATTTCCAGGATCTCTTCGAACAGCTATTTTAATACTTAATTGCAGAGCCATTAGCTGCCACAACCCTTTGCAACCTTCTTGGCATGGACATTATTAGCTCACGCATGTCGTATGACTCAGCAAGCTCATCCCAAGAATTTTCAACAGCACTCCATAGTTCATCTCGGTTTGCTGGCCTAAAGTCCCGTTGATATATATTTTTAACTATAAAACCCCACACGGGCTTCTAGCTGGCCATGGCAAAACAGTTATGTGGTTGTTGTTTACCCACTCTGTAACCACGCGAGCTGTGTGAACTGGTGTATTGTCCTGTAATATAATATTTATTAGAATCGTTTTTGAATACTATACAGTTTTCTTACATGTTGGAATATAAAGTTTTCTGGAAACACATGTCTAACTGAAGGTAGCATAACGTTGTCTAAAATCCTCGTATAGTGCTCAGCCGTTAATCTACCATCAATTTCCCAACATACTCCCGGACCATGGATGCTTATCCACGCCCAAACATTTATGGAAAAGCGTCCACTATTTGAGGTTCTTAATGTATAGTTCTCCTCAAATCTTGCGTTTCTTGGACGATATACACGCAGCCTTTCATTATTGCAAGATTGGAACGTTTTTTCATCCGAAAATATAACATTATTCCAAAAATCGTCTCCATAATTTAAATAGTCATTGGCGAACTAGACTCTCCTGCGCTTATTTTCGTCAGTTAAAAAAACCTTATGAGCAGCAGCACAGTTTTTTAAACCAACTTGTTTCAATCTTTTTTGAGCTGTTCGAAGAGATCCTGAAAATTGTGTATCTTCTCGGGCCTTAACTGCGCTATTGAAAGGATTTTGCCTAATATGTGCGACAAGAGCATTGTCTTCATTTTCGTTGGAGATTTTTCCTACACCTTGCCTGATAGGTCTTCTTAATCTTTGTTGTTCTTGCCAATGTTTTTTGATATAAAATATGCAGCTTTTACTGACATTTAAATCTGCAGCTACTTCACTTAAAGACCAATTTTCTTCTAATTTGGCTATTGCCTCGGTAAAGTGGGGTGGCATTTTTAATATTGCAATTGACAACTATTATCAAATTTGACAACTACCGACGACACTGATGCAAAGCCCATATTACACGATTAAATTTTGCCGTTCACATTTCGGGGACGCCAATTGTACATTGACATCACGCTTTTTATTTGTCATATGTCATAGACATTTTGCAAAGCTTCAGTCTATCTTACGCATGTCACATTTTATACACACTGTTAGCACGCTTTAATATTTCTCATTTATGACGCTTATATTACACCTTTTTATAGCACATTGTTTGTACAGTTTCAGCGATCACTCAACAGTTTAAGCACATTTTAGATATATCTCGCTTGAGTTGGGGTACAACATTTATTTAAAAGGTGAGGTAGATTCCATCTTATGTATCGCTTCTCTGCCTATTGCTAAAATAAAAGCAATCCCCTTCGTGGAGTTGACAGTGCAGGTATTTTTCTTAATAAAAAACAGTATGTAGGACCTACATTTTTTTTTTTTAATTTTTTTGAAAAAAATATTTATTTGATTAATATTATTATAAGGATATTTATATTTTAATTTTGTGTAAATTTAAAAGACTTTATAGGTCACCAAAAAGAATCTGTTTTTGTAATAGGCACACAGGTGGCAAGAAACAATGTGAAAAATCAAAAGGAGTTCCCTTTAAAACATTGTCCAGTGATTATTCACACTTTTAAATTTTTGGTTTTGCACATTGTTTCATGTTTCATTTCCCTCCATCCGCACATCATTTTTTTAAAAGATTGCACATTTTTGGCACATTGTTCTCAAATAATTTTGCACACTTTTTGCACATTTCATTTAAAGTTACCCAAACAAGCTTATCTAGAGAAGTATGAAAGTTCTTAACAAAATGATGCTTTTTATACATTAAAAAAATCATTAAATCGTTATCATTGATCTGAACTAATCCCACTGGGCTAGCGTCGGCCCTGACTTGTTTGTATCATAGTATCCCATGGGATACTATGATACAAACAAGTCAGGGCCGACGCTAGCCCAGTGGGATTAGTTCAGATCAATGATAACGGACCGTGAAATATTGCTTTTGGAAACAAGAGTTTGACGGACTTCGAAAAAAGGTATTGCCAAACGGAGAAAGAACACTTGCACTAGTCTGGGCTATTAAACACTTTAGAGTTTATTTGTATGGAAAAGACTATTTTAATTTAGTAACATACCACAAACCCCTTAAGACAATCTTTAACCCTTGTGCCCGAATATAAATATGGGCATTGAAGTTGCAGTTGTTCAATTTCAAAGTCATCTACAAGCCAGGAAAAACTAACATAGCAGATCCACTGTCTATGTTAACACAATAACCCCAACATACATCTTCCTGCCCTGTAATAATAATATTATTAGAAGATTATCTCATACCTTAGCAGAGATTGGAAGTTTGAAAAATATACTAAGTACCATAAGTGTCGACTTATTTAGATAATTTTTCAACACTCATAGCAAATATGATACTCCATTTAGTTTTTTACATAAAAAATCTGTGTGAACACACCAGTCTAGATGTTCATCAATATGCAAACCCAGAAATTTCGTTGCAGATATAAAATTTGTTATATTTTGGTTTATTTTAGCACTGGCTGGAGTAGTTAAATTATCTTGTACCTTCTTGAATAGAATACAATTTGTCTTATCAGCATTTATAATAAGTCTATTCATGGCGAAATACCTTTCAGTAGCTTTCATCAAACTTCCAATCTCTGCCAGCACCTCTGTCCTCTTGCAAGCAAATTTGTGTCATCTGCAAAACTAACCATAACCTGATTTTCCCCAGAAATTACACAATTTATATCGTTTATGTATATGAGAAACAAAAATGGCCCTATGTTGCTTCCCTGTGGGATCCCCAGACCAATGTGTTTTGTCTCAGAAACAAAGCTTAACCATTTGGCTCCGACCTGTCAAGTAGGACTGTATCCACCTCAACGCACAGCCTCTTACTCTATACATTTCCAATTTCTTATGCAATATCCCATGATCTAGAGCCTAGATTCTAGGCAATCATACGCCTTTGACAAATCAATAAATAATCCCAAAGATATGTATTTATCTTCAAAATTATCAAAGATTTTTTGCAGGAAGCTATGCACCGCTGTGTCCACCGACCTTCCCTTAAGGCCATTCAGGCATCGGGGCAATGAAGAATAGACTCCAAGCAAAAGGCCACATATAGATTGTAACGCGTAACTTGGGACAGTACGGAAGTAAGGCGACAATTGTTCAGAAAATTAATTTATTTTAATTTTAATAGTTAAATGTAGGCAACCCAGTTATCATGGTATGGAAAATGACGTAGCACGGCCCATGGTATTTGTTTTGAATAATTGTTTACTTTCTTATCATTTGTTTTCTCTGAAATTATTTAAATAAATCGAATGTAGAACATCTATTTGGCTGGAAAATACAGGAAAATTTTAGTTATTGTTGGTTTAATTCAGTTAATTACTAAATCTCACTTCTCAATTTTAAATTTTTTATAAACATCACTTGGCCAATTACACTTGATTATAGGTAATTTTGACACCTTCCGGGATCGAAGCTTCTGGTAGCGTTGAAAGGGATAACCAAATAATTTAGTTTTGATCATCGTTAAATAAAATTAACTGAATAAATCAGCAATAATACTTTAAGGCCACCTGACATCCAAGGTAAATAATATTTTTATTATTATGACTGAATTTACTGTGTTTACGAAAAAAAGTGATGTTTCTCTTTTAGGCCTTCTTTATTTTTTTATCTGTTATTCCTCGTTCAGCCAGTTTAGCTGGTTCTACATTACAATTTTTGTCCAGAACGATAGTGCTAAAACAGAAATATTCAATATTATTGGAGAGCAAATTTGAGGTTATAATCTCCTAGAGAAGGGTTATTTTGGAGAAATACTTACCATGCCGTCCTGTTGCATTATGTCCTGCTAAGATGTGTATTGCTACACTGTTTCCTGCTTTACTGTGCCCTTATTGTGTGACCGGAATCAACACTTTAATCATCGTTGTGTGGAGGAAGCCCACCTAAGGCATTTGACCATTGTCCATTTCTGTTTGGCTGAAACAAGAACCTAACAAGAGAAAAAGCAAGTTAACCAACACCAGGGTTATAATTCATAATATTTTACTTACCGTAAACCACTCACGTAAAAGGTATTTATTTTAATTTTTTTACATAATTCATTTTTTTTGGTGTTGATAACACTTGTTTATAAGAGAGATGTTCAAGTGATCTTACAGGTTTAAAGAACTAATTCTTTTGTTTCATTTTTAAAAATACAGAAATATACGAATGAGATTAATTAATTTAATCATAACAGTGTGTTTATTTGTTACAAGAAACCTCCTGTTTTTCCTCATCCCTTCCTTGTCAAAATTCCAAATTTGACTGGCGCCCATTTAAACTCTAACCATCTGACCCACACCCGCCCTGATAAAAGAGCAGTCGTGTATGTGGTAAGCAATAAATTTAATTTAATATTTTTTGAGTACGCCACAAGATAAAGAACCAAAAAATATCGGCACCAAACAATCCAACCCCTATTTAAAGAAGAGAACTTCCCGTGGCCCCTTGTATTGACGTAGCCATAGACTTCATGAGCTCTTAACCAAGTGGAAATTTCAGCAACATTTACAATTAAATCTTTTCGCGTCGTAACACCAAAGAAATGAAAGAATTCTGCAAAAAAAGGGAATGTATAATATATATAAAATATATGTAATATTTTGTGACACTAACTTTATTAAAAAAATAAAAATATAGCGCACTTACCTCGGCAACTCTTATTTGTCGACGCTAGGTCGGGATTCAGGTAAGTATGAACGAAAATCTTGAGTCAAGGGCGCCAGTTGCGACAAACTCAACAGGAAGTCGGGATAAAAATTTCACAATAACACTAGTTTGCAATTTAAATACAATTTAATTAATAAACTTAACCAAAAATTAAAACATTTGTCGCACTGTGCGATGCATACCGCCCGATGCCTACAGCGCCTGCGTTAGAAGCAACAGCGCATGGCTGGGAATTTCGCAGCGAGAGTTGACAGAACCAAAACAACATAAATAAACGTTTGTTTTACAAAATTCCAACTAAATTAAGGCCCTAACTATTTTTAAAACTTAATCGAATGTCTTTTCCACTAGGTAAGTACTCATTACTTTTAATAATAGGTTACAAACTATATTTTTTACAGATTTAAGTTAATGGCTTACTTGAAGGTAGTTTCTAGCTGAAACCTTACGAATCCGGCAACCACAAGGCACGGAAACGATGGGATGTAAGTCCACAACTGGCTGGTTACTATATTCCACTCCACAATCAGGTATTGTCGATAAGTCCTGGCTATCCAATCAACTTATTTTACATTATTACATTATTTACAAGTTGTATCTAGGACTGGTGTCAATACAACAGTAAACTTGTCCTCATAAAACCAACCGATTCCCAAAAATGTTCACCAAGGAGGCAAATCCAACCAAAAAAAAGGCCTAATTACGAAAAATACAAGAAATTGTAGGAAAATATTCCAATTGTAAGGTACAGCAGAACTTACCCACAAGATTTGAGCCTTTTTATACAAATTTAAACAATTGATTACTAAAATATCTTAGATTTTGGGCAATTAATTCACCTTAAGTGTGCCACAAAATCAGATTCACAAATGGCTGACCATATTAGTAAATTTTAGTTTGTTCAGTGGCAGACTGCTTTGTTATACAGTAGGTATGTACCGTGAAAAGTTACAATAGCAATTTAAACTTAAATATAAATTATACCTAATTACAATTAAATCTTAACTAAAACACAAAGATTAATTTAGTTACCTATACACATTATACCCTTACTTAAAAAATAAAGCCCAAACACAGGAACTGACTGACTTTCATTTATTTACCAAACTGAATTAAATTCTTAAAAAAACAGACTGTTACAATATATAAAATATATACATAATATATTATATATAAAAAATAACCGAACCGAAATAGCCGAACAGTGCGGACGGTAGTCTGCCCTTAGGCAACGAGAGTACAGTAAAACCGTGTGTTCAGTGCAAAGTCGTTGCCCGGGCGGGCCTTATTTGTGCCATATGTGGTACAGTTACTCATACTAGTTGTGCCAAACATTCAAAAAGGTGCTGTGGGCTCATATTGGGAGAAAATGAGGAAGTCATAGAAGAAATCAGCGATGTGAGTGCAGTAAACTTTAACCTCCTAAAGATGTTGGTAACAGAGCTAAGACGCAGTAATAAATTGCGGTCCGAGAAGGTTGTTTTTTTGGAAACTGAATTAACCAAAAAAGACGATAAAATTGCCCATTTATCAAATGTATCAAAAACGCCAAGTCATGAAGAGGGACGCAACCCAGTTAGCACCTACGCCGGTATAACTGCTACCAATAACAATGTAAACGTCACAGTAAGGAAATCAGCAACCGAGATAGTTGGGTCGGCACATAAAGAACCCAAACAGTGCAAAGAAAAATGTAAACAAAGCGCAAAATAAACCAAATAAAGCTGTGGAAGATGATTTTCAGAAGGTTTCCTACAAGAAAAAGAATTTAAATATTATTTATGGTGAAAATACAGATGCAGGCACAAGTTTGACCGCTTATATTACAAAGTCGAACATACATGTGTTCAAATTAAGCATGGAAAATACCAAGGAAGATGTCATAAGTTATATAAAAACTAATACTCCGGGCCTAGCTGTGAGGAACCTAATGTAAAATCGAAAATGTACCGAAGCTACAAATTAACAGTGACTTTTAAAAATCAAATCTTGGATAAGTCATTTTGGCCTGCTAGTGTAGCCGTAAAAATGTTCATGGAGCGAAAGGAAAATTTTCAGAAGGACCCAAGACTACAAAAAAATTCATAAACAGCATTCTATACCAAAATGTACAATCCATAGGCAACAGTGTTGACCAGCTGGAAGAGTTTCTCAAATCTCACGGATGCTTTGAGGTATGGATAAGTGAACACTGAAAACCAAAGAGCAACGAACGAAGTACAAGCTGCAAAACTATAAGTTGGTTTTTGACTTTTGTAGGGATGAAGGGAAACACGGAGGGACAGCAATATACTGCAATAAAAACCTGAAGTGTAGGAGCAGGGAAGATATAATATATAGTACAAATATATAGTACAAATGTCAGTAAAGAATATTTGTGAGTGTTCAGTAGTGGAATGTGCTTTTGACAATTTTTTTTAATTATGTCTGTATATAGACCACCAAACTGTGATTTCTATGGTTTTATGAGTATTATGGAAAGTATTATATCAATTTTAATAGATGAAAACTGTTATCTAGTCGTTAGTGGTGATTTTAATATAAATTTTAAAGTCCAAAGTAAGTTTACAAAAGATTTCCTATTTTGAATAAAAACATTTGATCTAGTAAAAACAATTTTTGACCCAACAAGGGTAACAAATAATTCAAACACATGCATAGATAATATATTGACAAACATTGGTAACTATAGATCTGAGGTTTTAGACAGCAAATTATCTGATAAAGCCCAAAAAATAATAATTTACAACCTAAAAATCAACGCAAATATTACCAAAACTGTTTTCAAGAGATTTTTTAATGACAGTAATAAAAAATTGTTTAGAAGGAGGTTAATTGAACTTACTTTGCTATCTATTCTTGTTCTGTGTCAGATGTAAATGCTCAATGGAGCTGTTTTTTAAATACATCTTTACCTCTTTTCAATGACCAATAAGTTTACTGTCTTCATTTTCCAAAATTTTTGAAATTTCCATGAACACTAGATTAATAAACTTTTTTATATCTAACAAGCTGTTAAACCAAAATCAGCATGGCTACCTTAAGGGTAGGTCGGTGGACACAGCGGTGCATAGCTTCCTGCAAAAAGTCTTTGATAAATACCTATCTCTGGGTTTATTTATTGATTTGTCAAAGGCGTATGATTGCCTAGATCATGGGATATTGCATAAGAAGTTGGAAATGTATGGAGTAAGAGGCTGTGCGTTGAGGTGGATACAGTCCTTCTTGACAGGTCAGAGCCAAATGGTTAAGCTGGTTAAGGAGGGTACAAGCTTTGTTTCTGAGACAAAACACTTTGGTCTGGGAATCCCACAGGGAAGCAAGATAGGGCCATTTTTGTTTCTCATATACATAAACGATATAAATTGTGTAATTTCTGGGGAAAATCAGGTTATGGTTAGTTTTGCAGATGACACAAATTTGCTTGCAAGAGGACAGACTTATCCAGAGGTGCTGGCAGAGATTGGAAGTTTGATGAAAGCTACTGAAAGGTATTTCGCTATGTATAGACTTATTATAAATGCTGATAAGACAAATTGTATTCTATTCAAGAAGGTACAAGATAATTTAACTACTCCAGCCAGTGCTAAAATAAACCAAAATATAACAAATTTTATATCTGCAACGAAATTTCTGGGTTTGCATATTGATGAACATGTAGACTGGTGTGTTCACACAGATTTTTTTATGTAAACAACTAAATGGAGTATCATATTCGCTATGAGTGTTAAAAAATTATCTGAATAAGTCGACACTTATGGTACTTAGTATATTTTTCAAACTTCCAATCTCTGCTAAGGTATGGGATAATCTTCTGGGGAAGAAGTAAAAATCTTAAAAACGTTTTTATCACACAAAAACCAGCAGTTATAATTATAAATAATAAAAAAGTGATATGTCCTTGAGAGGTTTGTTTAAGTCTAGCAGGATTCTGACAGTTGCCGGGTTATATATATATATATATATATGAGCTACTGATTTTTATGTTCAAAAACAAGCACTTGTTTGAGAATTGCAAATCTAATCGGAAAAATAAAAAGCATTGTTACATATGTCCCAGTCACAGATTAACCATCTACGAAAAAAGCTGTTTTTATTCATGTATTATGTGCTTTAACAAGTTACGTCCGTCTTAAATCTGTTCAAAATTTTAATAGTTTTAAATTGAATGTTTTTAGTTATTTTGTTGAAATGGAGCCATATGATCTTAATGAATTTCTAGCATATTAGCATATTGGTGTCCTCCTTTTTCCCGTGACAAAGTTTACAGTATTTTTGCATATTTATATTCGGGCACATGGGTTAAAGAATGTCTTAAGTGGTTTGTGGTATGTTACTAAATTAAAAGAGTCTTTTCCATACAAATAAACTCTAAAGTGTTTAATAGCCCAGACTAGTGCTCCGTTTGGCAATACCTTTTTTCGAAGTCTATCAAACTCTTGTTTCCAAAAGCAATATTTCACGGTCCGTTATCATTGATCTGAATTAATACTGCCCCTAATCCCACTGGGCTAGCGTCGGCCATGACTTGTTTGTATCATAGTATCCCAGCGATTTAATGATTTTTTTAATTTATGGAAAGCATAATTTTGTAAATAACTTTCATACTTCTCCAGATAAGCTTGTTTGGGTAACTTTAAAGTGGACATTTCAGCAACATTTACAATTATGTAAATCTTTTAGCGTCTTAACAACAAAGAAATGAAAGAATTCTGCAAAAAAAGGGAATATGTATAATATATATACATTGTATATAGAATATATAATATATATAAAAATATATATGTAAAGAAAACAAGTTGTCTTTGGTTTGACTTTTTTATTGTTAAAGTTGACATTTTGTGTCGTGTATAGAAAAGTTAATAATAATACAAAAAATATTGTAAAAAGGAATTGACAAGATAAAATATAACTTTTATTGTCGTTTCTTTATTTTTAGGTAAGAAACTATTGTAATAACGAAATCTTAATTAATAAAACTTTATTTTTAGAGCAACGTCAGAGTTTATTTGTCAATTTATTTTAAAATTTAATAAAATATCTTATAAAACGATAATATTTGTCTTGTTTTTGGTATTCTGTAAAGAAAATCAAAACAAATAAAAAAAAATGAAAAAGTTACAGTTTGAATTTACATTACTACCATCAAGTGATGGAAAGGCAAATGTGTGGAGTATAATACTACAGAAGATAATAAAACTTATGGATTACCAATGGAATTACAATCAGCTACTTTACATACAGAATTAATTAAACCACCAGCCTTCAATAGGGTGAAAAATAGTATAAAAAAAGGTATCAATACAGGAAAATTTGGATTTCTTTATCAGAACAGCTGAAATCAGTTTATATTGACGATGGGAATTTACAATTTGCTGATAAATATTTAGAATTATTGGGTGAAGATGTTAAAACACTAGCTAACCCAGAAAATAAAAATACTTTAAATAAAATTCTTGAAAAACTTATAGAAAGAGAGTCTCAAGAAAATGGACAAAAAAATATAAAAAAGATAGCCGAAAAATTTATATTGGAAAAGTGAATGTGACCGCTTTAATATAAAATCTGATGAAAATAAAATTGAAATATTACGACTTTTCATGCATAGAATGGTATAGTTCAATGATCATAAAATTATCATTGGACTCCGGTCACATATGCTTTAATATTTAAATATAAAGAGGGTTCATTGCTAGATTATGCAATTAAAAAAGAAAGGCTTTTACTTGACATGAGAAAATCTATTGACACAGGTACTTTAGTGGATCTTGTAGCAGCAGGCCTACCAGAATTTATTCTAAAAAAAATTGATAGAGAAGCGATTAGAGATACAATTGATCTTTTTCATGAAGTCAGTAGATATGAACATATTGTTAGGAAAAAAAAATGTGTGGTTAAAGAAAAACAATGAAAATTTTAAAACTGATAGTAGACAAAATGAAAAAAAACCTTGTTCTATTTGTACAAGGTTAGAAAAAGGCATAAGATACCATCCTGAAGCAGTTTGTTATTTTAAAGATAAAAATTATGATCCTCAAAGAAACAGTATAAAATATGTTAATAATTCAGAAATTGAAGTGGAATTAAATGGAGATGAACAAAAAAACGATTAAGTACACCATTAATTAAAGTAAAACTGTTATTAAATGATAAAATTAAAGTAGATGGTATTTATGATTCTGGTTCAAATATTTCTGTAATTAATTCAAAATTATTAAAAATAAAAGAAAAAAATGAAAAACAATTAAATACATATAATTTAATAACAATTAATGGTGTCAGTAAAACAGTTGGTTTGACTACTTTGAAAATTAAAATATTTGAGATAGAAGATGATATAGATGTATACATCATTGATGAAAAAAAAAATTAAATTTGATTTTTTAATTGGATTGGATATGATAAGAAAATTTCAGTTAATCCAAAATGAAAATCTAGAAATAACTCAGAAAAAAAAAATAAACAATATAGATTATAAATACAAAAAAGTGCTCTTTTAGTTCCATCCTTACTTCTTAAAAAGTCTCATAAGCCAACTGAATGGCTTGTGCGGGTTAGGGGTAGGACAAACACAAATAAACAGCCATACCCCTGGTGGGATTCGAACCCACGACCTCCGGCTTGTAGTCAGCAGCACTAACCACTCGTCCACCGTCGCACATAGGAGTATTTCAACTAAAAAGCCGGACAAAAGTCCAAATCACGAATTTGGTTAAAAGTGGACATAGTTTATGTTTTTGGGTAGCTTAAATATCACTACATCAAGAAACAACAATCTTAAACACCATACATAATAAACCTTTATTCACCATCGATCGAAACTTAAGTAATTTTCAGAGCGCTCATTTTAGTTTTTAACGCTCTCGCATATACGAAATCTTTAATTCAATTTTTTAAGTTGGCAGAATTTTTTTTTTTTGAAAATCGTTATAGATTGGAAGGTAATATGTATGTACTATATTACCATATATTTAATTTAAGGGTATTAGTTTATATAAGTCTTTTTTAAGCCAATTGGTTATCACGTTGGTACATTTGGCGTTTTCAACTTAAAAAATATATAATCTTCCAAACATTTTTTTTTTAAATAGTGATATTATTAGCTTTACTTTGTAAGAAAAATTAAAATCGCGTATGTAGCCGTTGTGGAGATATACACTTAAATGTATTTTTTTATAAATTAATGCGCAACAATAAGCTTAACATGTTTTCTAGTGAAAATGACCACAGCAATTCGCTATATATATATATATATATATATATATATATATATATATATATATATTGAAGGTTTTCCGGGATCTGCTCCGAGTTGTCAGTTTTTGGTTCTTAAAAGAACCGTATGTCTGACGACGTTTCGGTACAATCTGTCACGGTACACTTTTCAGTGGGCGCTATCTAAAATAATATCTAGTTTTAAGGGCTCTGCCCGACTCTATAGTTGCTCAGGGGTGTGGGTTATAAAGGGATGTTCGTAGGCGCCACGTGATTTAAGTGGCCCTTAAAACGTAGAAAGAGAAAATCACGAAATAGATATAACTAAAAGTTTATTACTGATATATCATTTAAAATAACGCAATAAGTGATTATACTTGTGTTTAGGATAAATACCAAAAATAATACCGAAGTGATCACTTGGGTTTACAACCCTTTTGGTAGTTACGAACTACAAAAACAATCTATATATTCTGCAAGTAAAATACCACTCTGTAGCTGAGGGCTACCAGGGCAAAACAAAAAGTAAGTAAAACTGGTGCTTAGGGCAACCAGGGCAAAACAAAAATTAAGTAAAACTGGTGCTTAGGGCAACCAGGGCCAAACAAAAATGAGGTGACACTACAAGTTAAGCTTGTAGTGTAACAAGGTTAGCAACCCGAGGGTTGCAACATGATCCGGGTAAACCTGGTTATACGGTCAAGCTTAACCAAATCAGTTCGCAACACAACGAACAATACTGACCAATAAAAATAAAGAAAGTCAAAAATAAATTGGCCGTTGGTCTGGATCAAAACCAACCAGCAGCTGGTTATACGGGCAAAAGCTGGTCAGCCTTAACACAGAGCAACAAACCTCACAAAAATAATCATATAACAAAATAACGTATACTCCGGTATAAATACCACACAATAAAGTAAAGAATAAAATAGAGATAAACTTATCCTGCTGCCAGGCGTTGTCACAATCGGGTAGTCGTCAAATCCGGGGTAACTGTCTTAATCAGGTGATGGGTGAGATGGCAGACGTCGATCTCAGTCCTACCTCGGCCAACTCACAGTAGTCAAATCCAGGAGAAAAGTAGGCTTGCCCGGGTACCTTCGCGGTAGTGTATGCCCCGGAACAAGGGTCACAATAGGGGTAGATATCGGGGAGATAATCCGTCGTGTCCAAGTTGTGTAAAAGTTACACGAATAGGGTTATGAAAACCCAAAAACAAAACCAAAATAAAAACAGAACAAAAACCAAAACCCTAAAAGAGAAATAAAGGTATGGAATAGGTCTACCAAAGAAATTATTCGTACTTACGCCTGGTTGAATAAATTATTGTACAACGATGACAAGTTATAGCAGTGGAATTTTACTCAACGGTGTTATGTGCGGTGTAGTGTGAAATGACGCTGGCTTGATCACTAAAATAGGCTTAGATAGAAAAACAGCCGTTAAATAGACAAATGACGCTTACCTAGAGCATGTGCTTTTTAAATCCGGACGAATCCGCTAAATCCATAGACCCAAAATACAAAATCCAACACGATAATGGTCTAAATGGATCCGATACTGATTTTTCTGAAGACAAATCCCGCAATTAAGAACGGATGGTTGAAATAAAACCAACTCTTCAGAAAATCTGTAGCACACACTCACTAGCCCAACGCCACAATGTCAAATGTCAAGGAAACCAAGCGTCACCTCAGCAGGAACGTTACATAACTTTAACGTTGGCAACACTGAATTTACAGTCTGCAACCCACAGATAAAATCTAGGTGTGCGATTAAAATAACGTTGGCAACACTGCTACTTGACAGATGTAAGGTAAACAAAATGGCTATATCAAAATACGATTATAAAATATAGACAACCAAGGCAAATACAAATAATAACTCAACGAGGGTATTCCTAAAACCAAACTCAATCTCTTAGGAAACGAAAAGAGTCATGTTAAAACCAAGGTCCCTGCAAAATGTAACTTAAAACAACGGTAGAAAACATAAGACAAACCAGGTAAATTAAGTAGTAGAACTAGACAATAATAATAAATGTAATAACAATTTTAGTAAGGAGAGAAAAAGTCATAAAACTAACCAGGCATTACCGGCAAAACCAAAAATAGGACAGAAAAATTATACTGTACGATACCACTTAAAATATAGTATAAGTTATGAAAATTAATCAAAATATAGAAAATAAAAGTAGTACAGCAAGTAAAGTATGGAAATTAAACTAAATAATAAAGTGCCGATAAGTAAGTTTTAGTTTTATTAGCAAAACAATAACAAATTCATAAAATAAACTAAGAGTGTTTTTGACACGTTACAAATCTCATGTACCATCTTCAGGTCTTATCTGCTGGGCTGCTGTTGCTGCTCTGCTGCAAGTTCATACATATAACGCCAATGGAAATCTAAAGCAGCAGAGCAACAACAGCAGCCCAGCAGATAAGAGGGTACATGAGATTGTACCGAAACGTCGTCAGACATACGGTTCTTTTAAGAACCATAAACCGACAACACAGAGCAGATGCCGGAAAACCATCAATACATATAACGCCCGTGAAAACCTAAAGCAGAACATTGATATCGTTAATTTGCGTGGCGTTTTGGTGGTTGTAAGAGCTGGTTTTTATGCAGTTGGTAGTCTCTGTGTATCGTCTTTTGTGCTGAGGTTTCTTGGTCCTGTGTTCGATGCCAGCCAAGACCCTTGTTTTTTCAATTCAATTTCATGGGAAGTTTTTCGGACGTGTTCAGCTAAGAAAGATGTTTTAAGACTGCGTTTCGATGTTCTTCACGTCTAACGTTGATACGTCTATTGGTCTGTCCAACGTAGCTTCCGTCACAATTATTACAAGGAGTTTCGTACACCCCTTGTGCCTCTAACTCTATTTTGGTTTGGCGTTTGGAAGTATTTGACCGATCTTTCTTGTGGCGGTAAATGTTATGTTTTTTGAGAACTTTGCCTATTCTCTCGGTTGTCCCTTTCACGTAGGGAAGGAAGGCCTTCGAAGTTGGTTTGTTGTTCTCGTCCTCTGTGGTATTTAACCGGCGTCGTGGTCTAAGAACCTTTTTGATGATGGTTTTGGAGAATCCGTTTTGCTGTAGCGTCGTTTGGAATTTCAGGTCTTTTTGTTTCTTGTGGTCATCATCCGCCAGCCTTTCGCGTGACAAGTGTCTTAATGATTGACTGCAGTTGTGACGGGTGGTGGTGAGACTGGGCGTGTGCCATTATTTATCTTGATTATGCCATTATTTATCTTGATTATCCAGAAAAGGTAATTGGTGTTCTTTCTCGGTTTCCATTGTGAACTTAATCTTTTTGGGAATTCTGGTCCAGGAATTTCTTCAGTTTCTCTTCTCCGTGGGTCCAGATGACAAATGTGTCTTTTACGTACCGTAGCCATAACTTTGATTTTAGTGTTGCCGTTTCGATTGCTCGTACTTCTATGTCTTCCATGAATAAGTTGGCTATTGCTGGCGATATTGAGAAATTGACTTTGAAAAAATAAGGGTCTTGGCTAGCATCGAATACAGAACCAAACGTACCATTCGTGAAGCCATTGAAATAGGAAAATGTCCAAAAAACCTCAATAAAAGAGGCGATACACAGAGACTAAGCTTAATGTTGCAAATTAATTTATAAAAAAATACATTTAAGTGTACCTATATCTTCACAACGGCTACATACGCAATTTTAATTTTTCTTGCAAAGTAAAGCTAATAATATCACTATTTAAAAAAAAATGTTTGGAAGATTATATATTTTTTAAGTTGAAAACGCCAAATGTACCAACGTGTTATATCATTAAAATTATATTATTTTTACATTTTTCTTCTAGGTTTAAAGGTGTTAAAGTTTATGTGTCGGGCATTGTCGGGCAATTATTTTTATATTATCATAAAATATAGGTATTTTTTTTATACATTTCTGAAAAAAAATCTCCCACAAAAATCCACAATATTTTTTTAGCCTGTATTTAAAGTTATAGAATTGTCTCAAATAAGAGGCATTTTCGTCAGCAAAATTGTTCGGTTGTTACAAGATTTTTTTGACAATTTATTACTTAGCGGATAGTACATACATTAATTAATAATTATTATAATCTTCTTCCTAATTATAAACAAAAAAAATTTAAAATTGGCTAAAACTGTTATTATTGAATGATATATTACCTCTCCAACGATTCATTAAGTATTGATTCATGGACCTACTGTCATAAATTACGCTATAATACCTGTTGGACAACTCTCAGAAGAAGCTGCTCAAGCCAGAAATAAGCATTTTAGGCAGTACAGACAAAATTTTTCCCGAAAATTTACACGCCAGCAATGCAACAGAGATGTGTTGAATAGATTATTACTGAGTTCGGATCCATTTTTAAGTGCTTCAAGGCCAAAAATTAAGAAAAAAAGTAAGTCGTTCTCGAAAGAATGTTTAAAACTATTCGTTCCAGAAAACACTTTTTATGGGCGTCCAACAGAAGAAAAGGATGAAAAAGAAGACGATAATAAAGAAGAATAGGAGGAGGAAGAGGAAGACGAAGAATATTTGAACTCTGATTAGTTTATATATATGTATATATATATATATATATATATATATATATATATATATATATATATATATATATATATATATATGAGTTGTCACCGCGACTGAAATGAAATGTGTTGTGATATCGAGTTTCTTTATTTACCGTAAGTACCTACGTTTAAAATTTTAAAACCGTTTTAATTTCCCTATTATTTTTTAACCTTTAAGGTTTTAGTTTCTATTTTTTTCTTACTATGCATTTTAACATGAATAATTATCATTATTATTATAGTAATTACTTAGAAAAAATTCTTTTAGAAGGGTATATTTTAGAAGGCTATATTTGTTCCTATTCTTAATGAAAAAGAGCATACTTACTTTATTAAGAGAAATAGTAACGAAAAGTACACGTTTTCTGGTTAGCAACATTAAATTAATGCTTTTTTATGACACGCGCAGCATAAATTCGACTTTCGCTTAACAAAAGTTCTTTAATAATAATTATTTTGAAAAATATACCAAACTAAAGACAATAGTCTTTAGTTTGGTATATTTTTGTTTATGAGCTTCGGGTCTATAGAGGAAAAAAGAAAACCCCTTGGTGGAACTTTGACCTCGACAAGGCTCGCAAGGAAACCCGCAGGCTCTTTAACAGGGCTATGCGGTCTAATTCACCTACGGATTGGGACAGCCACAAGCAGTCTCAGCGCAGGTACAAAGATCTCATAAGAAGGTCTTAGAGGGAGTCCTGGATGTCGTTCTGCGGTAACGTAGACGAGCTTCCAGCATCAGCCAAGCTTCAAAAGATCCAGGACGTGAGCTGGGGACATTAAGGCTTACCTCCGGTGACTATAGCACCACCGCGGAGGAGGAACTTATATGGCTCATGGAAACTCAGAAATCCTGCAACTGTTAAACCACCAAGGCAAGCTCTACCAGCTAGCGTAAGGCCGACTGACTGGAAGTTGGCTGCAAAGGTAGTGACAGAAAGCTCCATAAAGTGGGCTATCCACTCATTTGGATCTTTTAAGAGCGCGGGACCAGATGGCATCTTTTCGGCTCTTACAAAAGGGACTAGAACCACTGACCCCGCACTTAATACGCCTCTTAAGAGCCTGCCTTGCACGGGGCTACGTGCCACAATCCTGGCGAAAGTTTCGAGTGGTGTAACTACGAGACGGCAAAGGATTATAGACCCATCAGTCTATCCTCGTTTCTTTTAAAAACTATGGAGAAACTGGTGGACATATTTATTAGGGACGGGGCACTGAAAAGAATGCCCATGCATCCTAATCAACACGCCTACAGGACAGCCATGTCGACGGAGACCGCTCTTCACAGCCTTGTGACAAGACTGGAAAGAGGGACCCGTCCTAAAGAGATGGCTCTGGGCGCGTTTCTAGATATTGAAGGAGCATTCAACAACACCTCCTTCGAGTCGATAAATGGTGCCTAGTGCTGGATGGGCTTCTTCGTACCCTAAACAAGGAAGGTATATACACTCAATGCTATAAAACACTATTAAAGAGATCATGCAAAGACCTCTTAATAAGGTCGAAAGGTGCTGCAACGATCACGGACTATCCGTCGATCCGGATAAGACAGAAGTGGTACCATCGTGAACCTTGAATGGCTCAAGCTCTTTGGATCAAGATTGACCCAATCCAAATCAGTCAAATATCTGGGAGTCATCATTGACTCTAGGTTGACATGGAAGGAACACGTCAACAGGGTCGTCCAGAGGGCCACTTATAGCCTTTGGGCATGCAGAAGGACCATTGGACGCACCTGGGGCTTACAACCCCACTGGCTTTACACAACAGTTCTAAGGCCAATGATCACATACGGCATCCTTGTATGGTGGAATGCGTTGAGCAAGCCCACCTAAAGGAGAAAGCTGGACAAGCTCGACTTGCCTGCATGGGCATAATTGGAGCTTATAAAACCACTCCAACATTGGCAATGGAGGACTGGCGCCTCTACATCTCTTTGTAGAGGCACGGGCTCAGAAGGCCTCGGTCAGACTCAATGATTGGGGACAGTGGGCTCACGGGGGGTCCTTCTCTCCAGTCTTGTCACAAGGCTGTGAAGAGCGGTCTCCGTCGACATGGCTGTCCTGTAGGCGTGTTGATTAGGATGCATGGGCATTCTTTTCAGGGCCCCGTCCCCATAGTCCCCATAGTTTTTAAAAGAAACGATGATAGACTGATGGGTTTATAATCCTTTGCCGTCTCGTGGTTACAACGTCCTGGCTTGGGGATGAACACCACTCGAACATTTCGCCAGGATTGTGGCACGTAGCCCCGCGCAAGGCAGGCTCTGAAGAGGCGTATTAAGTGTGGGTCAGTGGTTCTAGTCCCTTTTGTAAGAGAGCCGGAAAGATGCCATCTGGTCCCGCGCTCTTAAAATATCCAAATGAGTGGATAGCCCACTTTATGGAGCTTTCTGTCACTACCTTTGCATCCAACTTCCTGTCAGTCGGCCTTACGCCAGCTGGTAGAGCTTGCCTTGGTTATTCAACAGTTGCAGGATTTCTGAGCCCGGATAGTGAGTTTCCATGAGCCATTTAAGTGCCTATAGTCACCGGAGGGAAGCCTTAATGTCTCTAGCTCACGTCGATCTTTTGAAGCTTGGCTGCTGCTGAAAGCTCGTCTACGTTACTGCAGAACGACATCCAGGACTCCCTTTAAGACCTTCTTATGAGATCTTTGTACCTGCGCTGAGATGCTTGTGGCTGTCCCAATCCACAGGTGATTTAGACCGCATGGCCCTGTTAAAGAGCCTGCGGGTTTCCTTGCGAGCCTTTTCGAGGTCAAAGTTCCACCAAGTGGTTTTCTTTTTTCCTCTATAGACCGGAAGCTGGCAGCTTCGTTCGTACGATGTGATGATTGCATCGCGTACGAATTCGGCTGTTTCCTCTACTACAATAGTTTATTATTCTATAAGTAAATAAAAGTGATAGATTTCTATAGTTATTGTATTAAAAGTATTGAAACTTTGCGACAAACTCGCTAGATATATATATTAATTAAATATTCTGCAAGCATTTCTCGTATCACCGCTTTTGTTTAATTTCGTTCGGATCTCATGCCAGCATCGACAGACGCGTTTCGTTCTTGTGGAACTCATCAGTGCCGAGTTGCTATAGGCTTGAGACCCAAACGAAAACTTTAATTCCTTTCCTTATATTGGAAAGAAATAGTTCAAAAGCGGTGAGAAGAGAATTTGCCTGCACAATGGTGTCATCTATCGTTTTTCAACGCGGTCTTCTATATGTCATGACATTATCTGTACGAGACATATAGCGTGCTTTACGCCATCTATGACCTGAAAGATGTATTTGCCATCCCGGCTAGGTAATTTATTATAGTTATTGTATTAAAAGTAATGAAACTTTGCGACAAACTCGCTAGATATATATATTAATTAAATATTCTGCAAGCATTTCTCTTATCACCGCTTTTGTTTAATTTCGTTCGGATCTCATGCCAGCATCGACAGACGCGTTTCGTTCTTGTGGAACTCATCAGTGCCGAGTTGCTATAGGCTTGAGACCCAAACGAAAACTTTAATTCCTTCCCTTATATTGGAAAGGAATAGTTCAAAAGCGGTGAGAAGAGAATTTGCCTGCACAATGGTGCCATCTATCGTTTTTCAACGCGGTCTTCTATATGTCATGACATATTTCGTTTGGGTCTCAAGCCTATAGCAACTCGGCACTGATGAGTTCCACAAGAACGAAACGCGTCTGTCGATGCTGGCATGAGATCCGATTGAAATTAAACAAAAGCGGTGATAAGAGAAATGCTTGCAGAATATTTAATTAATAATAGATTTCTATTTAATGGAAATATCAAATTTCCACGAGATAGAAAAATTGGAGTGCACCTATTAACCACGCTGTTTTGTCATATTCTTAATGGGATAGTGCATTTTAAATTGCGTTGCATATGACGAAGGGCGGCGATTTCTGAAGAGTGTGAGGTTTGCTGCACGAGCGAGGCGAGTGTAGAACACACTATTTAGAAATCGCCGCCTTTCACCACGAAATATGTACACTATTTTTTATGACAAAACGGAAAATCGACTTTCGCTGCCTTTTGAGAGAGATTTTTTTTTAATATTTACGGATTTTTAATAAAAACTAAAAGCCATAGTGAAGTTAACTCATAAACAAAAATATACCAAACTTAAGACAATAATTAAACATAATTATTATTAAAGAACTTTTGTCAAGCGAAAGTCGAGTTTATGCTGCGCGTGTCATAAAAAAGCATTAATTAATATAATACTTTTCTTTTCAATTTTTAAAATGTGCTAATTAAAAGTGTTGCTGAGTAAAAAAGTGTTGCTAACCAGAAAACGTGTACTTTTCGTTACTATTTCTCTTAATAAAGTAAGTATGCATAGGTACCATGTTCTAAATGTTTTAGTTTCTATTTTTTTACCTTTGTTAAAGTAACTGTACACATTAACATAAATAAAGATAAGTTTTTATAATAATGTAACGTTACAAATAGTAACGCTACATGATTTAATAAATAGAAATAAGTTAAGCACTGTATAAGAATAATTTAGTTTATTGAGTACACACCTGTTCATACTGTATATCGCATATCGGCTTGAGAGTATTGTATTTTTATGTTTTGATTATTATTTTGGCGTCTTTAGGTCGCTGGCTTCATGGTGTTGATTTGCCATGCCTAAAAGAGTACGTTTATTTAATTTTATTGATAACCAGGAAGATCTTGGTACATTTTTTAGGTTACGACTGTATTTAACTTTTAGTTATTGTTTCGATATTTGTGATATGTGATAAGTATGAATGGTTAAGTAAATGAGTGTATGTGAATGATGTGGGTGCTCCAGGGTCTCCTTTACGGTATGTATGCGTTTTAAGTTTATCTTGGGCTCTGGTAATCCTACAACATTAGTGTACTTTAGAATAGGTTAAAGGGGGTTAGAATAAGTTAGTTATAATTATTATT